TGTTAGAAATACATTTACAGTGAGGTGCTGGAGAGTTCTTGCTCAATCCACTTGCCAAAATCAATATTTCAATGACCTCCTCCTCTTCTTCTTTTGTGTTGTATCTCTTCAGGACACAGGCGATCATGGCTCTCCACATCTTCCTCTCCTTTGTAGCTTTTAATAAGTTTCGTCTTTTTGTTATTTCTCTCAAATCCTGTTCTACCAATGATTTGCTCAAACCCATCAAGTATATTATGTGCTGCTTTCCTCTGTCTCTCTTTCCCTCAATTTGTCCTGTGAGTATCAGGTTTTCCAAGCCTTCCTTCCATGCCCCAGAAATGTCAACTGCCTCTTCCTTATGTCAAGTATGTTTCCTTTTTGTTTCATATGCAAGCATTGCAATTAATTTAGTAATGACAGAAAGAGCAACAACAAAATCTGTAGTAGTCATTTCACTCATTTTATTCCAAACTGCTTCATCCCCTCTCTTGGGGACTCAAAGCAATAAAAACAAGGGGTGTAACTCATCAGTGATTACTGATGATACACTTTTTATTTCCATTTTCTCTAAAACCTTATCGTTGCTCACATGGTATTTTTTATAGAACTGCATTTCTATTGCTTCAAGTCTCTTTTTCATCTTTGAGGAGATTGCCCAGCGTTCCCTGCCATTTAGGAAGACAGATATCACATAACTGTTCAGTACTCTTTTATTTGTTTCTAACAAAATTTTTCTGTCTCTTAATACTCTGCTTGGCTTTTGGAATACATCTTTGGCAATCCCAATATGTCTTTGGTTTTCAGTGTCATACTTTCTGTCCACTGTTAGAATGCTTCCCAGATATTTAAATTTTTTTACTTGTTTGATTTTAGTATACCTGATTTGTAATTTGTATTCCTTCTGCTGATAACTACGCAATTCTGTCTTCTTGTAGTTTATATTTAGTCCTTTCTTCTCATTTTCTTTCACTACATTGTGTAGGAGATTTTATAGTTTCCTTTTTGTGTCTGCTATCAACACCTGTGTCATCTGCATATCTTATGTTAAGATTGTGGCCACCTGGTAGGATTTCTAACTCTCTCAGAATTACCTTGAAGAAATCTGGTGAGAAGACTCATCCTTGTCTTACACCTCTTTCTATTTTTGTGTATCCGCTGAACTCATTATCTGTTCATATGCAGGCAGTTTTGACATCACAGAGCACAGAGTTTTGGGAAGGAAATTGGGCTGAGAAATTTTCAGCACCCCATTAGTGCACATGGACATGTTTAAGGAACAGAAATGGAAATATGCCTTATATAGAATAATAAGACAGACAATAAAGAAAACATTGAGTGCATTGGTTATCATCATGAAAATGATTACTACAGAAATGTATGGTTAAAAATGAATATAATCAATAAGTTCATGACCTGATGGTAAACCAAACATTTATTGATTTTTCCGTATAACTTTTTAATGTCGATATACTTATCAAGAACTGAGTGATATCAGTGTGGTGGACAAGTTTCTGTTGGCTACATCCTGGTATTTTATTTGGAAAACTGGGATTCAAATGAATACAAATCTCTGTGTAACCATTTTACACATGACACCACTTTAGATTAATTTGAATTTCAGCATTGACCTTGACCTCTTTGTTCTCTGTTAATTACAAAGATTGAATATTTTATCATGTGAATTTCAGATCAAAATCAGTTGAAGACTACATTAGTTTTCAATTTTACTGTTCCAGTCTCTCTCTCTCTCTCTCACACACACACACACACACACACACACACACACACACACACACAATGAAACTTTTACCCATAAATATATCATGCATTAAAACTATATTTTATCATATATCTTTTTTCAAAAATTAAAATTTCTATCATCTCTTGTTCGTATGCATGTGTAGTCTCATAAAGGTAAATGAACCTAGTACAATAATATCGTAAGGTATGAAATGCATCACAAACACAAAATCATAAAGATCTGTATCACACAAAAAATTCCACTTTATCATATATCTTTTTTCCAAAACTGTTTTCAATATATAAAAATTTATATATTTATCATTATCCCATATATAGTAGATGAAATACATACACCAGTAAATGCAATAAATACTGTTTAACATAAATAGAATGTCTGCTCAAATATGTGGAGTAATGGATAGCGGCTTGGAATGAGGAAGCGGAGAGCTGAGTTTGAGTTCCAGTCAAATCCATTACATTCACTTACATGCTAATACCCTTGGGATAGGAATTAATCCTCCTCTTCCTCCCCCCTGCTATGGGTAAATAGTAGGACAGACCAGATTCTTTAGCCTTGGATGGCAACTGGTCTACTGCAGAAAGAAATGGCAACCTACTGCGGGAAGAAAATCTGCCTCATTCATGTTTCGAAAGATACATGACCACCTAAGTATGTATCACACATGGCACATAACTGACTGATTCAAATATGGGTCGCCACTAAAAATAACATATGTAATAAAAGTATGTCAGATTAATTAAAAATCCATTATTTCAAACACCAGTTCCTATATGATCACCAAAGTTAAGCAGCATCAAACCTGGTTAGTACTGAGATAGGTGACTGCTTGGAAATGCCAGGACCTGTTATCTTGGATGTGTGGGTGATATAATAGATAACAGCTTGGAATTCTGAATTAAAATTCTAGTCAGGTTATATGCAAATACCCTTGGAAAAGGTATGAATCCACCTCTTCTCCCTTCAGCTATGAGTTAATTAGTATGACTTATATCAGTAAATCATTATCATCTTCCAAAAATTCTAAGAATAAAAAAATTTCTAAAAAAAGTCTAAGAAAAAATTTTTTCTGGCTTTAAATAAACTGCAAGAGGTTGATAAACTGTAAAAACAAATCAATCAATCTCCCATTGTCTATGAGGGTACAAAAGTTCAGCTCCTAGAATAGTGATTTAATTATAGCGATGAAGGATTATACTGAACCTAGAAGGCTATTATTTGTATGTCAGTGAATATAATTAACCTGGCTGGAATTGGAACACAGCTCGCTGATTTCCAATTCCAAGCTATTATCCATTACACCACTCACACATCCACGCATTCTGTCTTCTTTTAGTTTATATTTAGTCCTTTCTTCTCACTTTCCTTCATTTTGTAGTTTTCCTGCTATCAACACTGTCTCATCTGCATATCTTACAACACCTTGTATTTCCATGTGGTCACCCATCTAGGTACTGAACTTTTGCTTAACTTTGGTAATTGTATGCGGACCAGTGTTTCAATGAAGATCTGAAAAATATATGTAAACAGAACTAGATAGACTTACTTTTAGCAGATTTGGGTTGATAGAAAAATGTGCACAGAATAAATATGAACAGAATTATATAAAAATAGAATTATTTTATATGAGTGGAGTCGACTATAATAAGTAGATAAGAAGTGAATTAAATAGGCCAATCAAAAGTCAATACTGATGCTTACAATTTGGAATGCAGTTTTTTTGTTTTTTTTATAAAGCATCATAAATTGTGGGCAACAGTATTGACTTTTGATTGACTAACCTCAAACTTGAAGTTATTTATATAACTTCAAGTTTGAGTGAAGTTTTTGTTTTAAATACCATATGAAACATCATTGATTTTAAAATAAGTAAGCACCAAGGTTGAATTTATTGATACAATGGTTTTATGAGTTACCTTTTAATGTTACTTTTCAGAAAGTCATTGTATCTACTACTTGAGATAATTTTGCTAAGTAATATTAATAACTTGAGTATTTCATTTTTATTCACAATTTATACTTTGTTTTGCAATTGAACATGTCTTAAAATTAACAATGCTACTTCAACATTGGATTAATATTCTTTCCAACACTGTATGATGCTACACAAGGTTGATGAGCTGTAAAAAACACATGTATCAATCAATCAATCTCCCATTGTCTGAGATGTATGAGGGTCTAAAAGTTCAGCTTCCAGAACTGAACAACTAGACTATGATTTGATTATAGTGGTGACGGCTTGTACAGAGCCTAAAAAACTTGAGTCATGTTCTTAAATAGATTCATCAGAGCTAGACTCATATGGATCTAAACTAGCATCTATATGTAACCATTCTTTTAGATTAATGAATAAAAATAGCTTCAAGTGACCTTCAGGTCTCAAAGTAGACAATTCTTCATCTGCCCCTAGAGAATGACATTACAAAATCACAAAGAGATTTACCAAATAAAAAAATCCACATCACTCAAAAACTTCCAGCAACAATTAATGGTCATATCTTTTGAAAAAAATGTTGAACTAGATTGATTTTAGTAATTGCTACCATTTCTCATATATGTGCTATACATGCTTATTTTTTTTAGTTTATTTTTTAGTTAGAATTATTTTTAATATATTTTATATGTGTATTTTTATGTATTAGAATTTTTTGCAACACGCTGACATGTTAAAATCCTTGTATTTAATATTGTTGAAATTATCACTAACATTTTTAGTTGAGATTTACAAACTCTGTTTCATTCAATTTCATAAACCAATAGATAAAAAATACTTTAAAATCTACTTTACAGTTTTTTACCAAATGTACTTTGTACCACCTTATGTATTTGCATTTCTCCCCAAAATTTGGTTTTGATTGGTCAATGTATAGCTATTTTAGAACTTGTGATGGATGGACAAACTAACGGAAGTCACAGAAATTTGTATATTGATATGTATTTCTATATATCTATGGGTATATATAAAATAATAATTTTTAACCAATAAATATGTATGATTTTTAAAAGAGGGATCATATTTTATTCATGAAAATGGATACAAAAGTATTGCAATGATTAAAATTTTAAGTACCTTTCAGCTGACACATTTTCAGAAAAAATAGTATTGTCGATAAATAAGACGAAGTGGTTGAAAAGAAAAATTATTTTCAACAACTGATGTTAAAATATACCAAACAGTATAACTGTTGTGATACTTTTGTATTCTTTCTTTATGAATAAAATATGATCCCACTATAAAGATCATTCTAGTCTGATGTCACAATAATAATCATTTTAAATATAAAGATATATATATAATTCATTTTTTGTACGTGTATATGAGTATGTGTATGTAAAAAAGAAATATATAATTCATTTTTTGTATATGTGTATGTAAAAAATAAAAATATATATATATATATATATATATATATATATAAACTTGGTCTGTGAAAAAACGTGGATAGCACAATTTTTCCAATTTGCATCTGAAAAAAAAAAAAAAAACAGAAACCTCCAAACAGGGTGAAAGAAATCGCCCAGTATCTTAAATTTTGCGTACAAAGAAGAAAAAACCCAGCGAGTAATGTTAAGACAAAGAGTGCTCAGTACGCTAAGTAGAGCAAAGATAAGATAAATAAATCCTAATGAGCCAGGTATGACCTACTTAGGTTTCACCACATGGGATCATTACCCTGATGATCTCATGTGGTAAAATATATATTTTATATATCAAAACAAACAGCAACAACCACATATAACTCAGAGGGAAAATGATATAATAATTTTATAATTTTAGTATTGAAAAAATTGAACCTTCATCTGGTTACTTGTAGCACACTGAATAAGTGACTGACATTGGCTTCTACTATAAGAAAGTTGTTTACCAAACCCCAATCTAAGGAATATGATTCTTACTAGGTTCTCTATGCCTGTGACCTTAAAACTTGTTTAGTAATTAACAAAAAATGACTTAGATAATTCTATCTATAATCATTTATATTTTAAATGTTCAATGAATATCCATTATTATTTATATTAGTGTATATTTATATATACTAATTCATAATACCTGAAGAAGTTCTTTTTTTTCTTACGTAGTAGACCAAATGCCATAACAAAACTGCTCTTCATTGAAGGTGTGAGTATATAAAGCCAGTTATTTGATTTGCAAGTATATCTACCCTCTTTTGTTGACTTTTCACATATCACAATGAAGATTTCAGCAACCTCACTCTCTATTTTCAATCTACCATAATTGTAGTTGAATAATCCATTGACACAGAGCAGGTGTGTAGCCCCACTCTCCGACTGGCTCTCCACAATTTCCTGTCCTTTGTAGCCCTTAGTAAATATTGTATTTTTGCTAGATCTCCTAATCCCTCTTCTGTCAATCATTTAGGTAAGTTGTGCACTGCTTTCTTCTGTTCTTCTTGCTTTTAACATGTCCCTTGTCAAATTTTCCAATTTAGAGTTTCCTTATCTGATGCTACATATAAGTATCCTTTTTGTTTTCATTTTCTTTAAAACCCCATTGTTACTCAAGTGTTCAGTTCATGGTATTCTCAGTATCCTTCTGTAGAATCATTTTCACTATTCCAATGCACCTTGGGGTTTCTGTGTCACACTTTTTGTCTTTTGTTCTTCCTTCTATTTGCACAAGCCCATTAATTAGGTTATGTGCTGTTTTCCTCTGTCCCTCTTATCTTTGACTTGACTGTGTCAAATTTTCCAAACCCTCTTTCCTCATGAGGTACTGAAGAAATTTCAACTATATATAAGTGTCCTTTTTGTTTCCGTTTTCTCTAAAAATTAATTGTTGCTCACATGTTCAGGTCATGGTATTCTCAGCATCCTTCTGTAGAATTATTTTCACTATTCCAATGCACCTTGAAGTTTCAGTGTCGCACTTTCCTTCTTCTGTTAAAACCCACCCTAGATATTTAAATTTTTGCACTTTAGTTTTGTTATCTCTAATTTTTAATTCACATATTGAGCTGTTTCTTTTACTGGCAACCATACATTCTCTTTTTTTTTACAGTTGATATTTAGTCCCTTCTTCTTGCTTTCCTTTACTACCGGGATTTATTTTGTAAAAATACAAAATTGTGGCACAAGGCCGAAAAGGGGGAGGGGGTAAAAGGCTGGTCTTCACTAACTATCTTATACCTAGCTAATTTGATTCACGACCCATTCAGACATTACAATTTACTCATTCACCATAAGAACTCGTCCATCGCTAATCGATCCTCCATGCACCATAATACCACATCCAACAAAACGCGCCCCGTGTCATGATAATTTAATGATCCTAACACATATGTACAAAAATTCTAAGATGTAAAAATGAGGGGTGGGGAGATGAACCCAATAACGAACTAAAATATTAACATAAATGAAATTAAACATTAACTGATGTTAGTAGGGCCCGTCCAACCCTCAAAAGGCAGGGAGACCACTGTATTCTGCCCATTGGAACAAAATCAAGCAGCTCTCTCTGCTTTCCTTTACTACCTTCTGTTGGTGTTCCTGTAATAATAATTGCAACAAATCTCTCTATAGAAGAATAAGTTACACTTACTTGCTATCAATTTGCATATTGGCTTGTTTTGTCTCATAGTTGATATTTAATCCTTTCTTTTCACTTTACTTTATTACCTTTCATGCGGATTCCTGTCTATTTACAATGTGTCACCTGCATATTTAATGTTGTTAAGATTATGGCTGCCAATAAAGAATCCTGGTAGGACTTCTAATTCTCTTAGAATTGTTTCACCTCTATTATATTATCAGATATCACTGTTTTTATATTAATCTTTAAAAAGAAGAAATTTTTGTGATTATTTGATACTTTGAAAAGAAATCTGTA